ATGCATAGATTTGCGAACGTACGTCATGTAACATCCAGGGGGGCCGCCCCCCCCCCCCCCCCGGCAAAAAAAAAGAAGGAAAAAAAAAGGAGGAAAAAAAGAAGGGAAAAAAAAGAAGGGGAAAAAAAGAAGAAGAAAATAAAAGAGAAAATATATCAAAGGTATCAAGATATGCTCATCTGACCGTGCGGCTGGATGCTAATATGACGGTAATTTAATGCTAAAACCCCCTGAGCTTCCGGGGCTCTGCCCCCCCCCCGAACCCAACCAATGGCCCTAAGGTTGGCCCCCTGGATGCTCATTTGACCGTAGAAGGAAAAAAAGAAAAAAAGAAGAAGGAAATAAAAGGGGAAAGATATCAAAATATGCTCTTCTGACCGTAATTAAATGCCTAAAACCCCTTGACTTCCGGTGGCTCTGCCCCCTGGACCCCACCTAGGGCCCTAAGGCGGACGGCTGGATGCTAATCTGACCGTAATCTATTGCCTAACACCCCTGAGCCTCCGGGGTCTCCGCCCCCTTGACCCAACACCAATTTGTGCCCTGCCAGTGTCACAAATAAGGTATCAAAAAATGCTCATCTAATATATTGCCCAAAACCTCTGAGTTTCCGGTGGCTCCGCCCCCTGGACCCCACGCCAATTTGTGTCATGCCAGTGTCACAAATGAGGTATAGAAATAAGCTCATCTGACTGTTATTTATTGCCCAAAACACCTGAGCTGCCGGAGGCTCCACACCCTAGAACCCACGCCAATTCGTGACCTGCCAGTGTGACAAATAAGGTATAAAATATGCTCATCTGACGATAATTTAATCTATAACACCCCTGAGCTTTTAAGGGCTCCGCCCCCTGGACCTTACACCAATTTGTGTCCTACTAGTGTCACAAATAAGGTATCAAAATATGCTCATCTGACAGTAATGTATTGCCCAGAACCCCTGAGCTTCCGGGAGCTCCACCCCCTGGACCCAACACCAATTTGTGTCCTGCCAGTGTCACAAATAAGGTATAAAATATGCTCATCTGACGATATTTTAATCTATAACACCCCTGAGCTTTTAAGGGCTCCGCCCCCTGGACCTTACACCCATTTGTGTCCTACCAGTGTCACAAATAAGGTATCAAAATATGCTCATCTGACAGTAATGTATTGCCCAGAACCCCTGAGCTTCCGGGAGCTCCACCCCCTGGACCCAACACCAATTTGTGTCCTGCCAGTGTCACAAATAAGGTATAAAATATGCTCATCTGATGATAATTAAATATATAAAAACCCTGAGATTCTTAGGGCTCCGCCCCCTGGACCCAACACCAATTCGTGTCCTGCCAGTGTCACAAATAAGGTATAAAAATATGCTCATCTGACCGTTATTTATAGCCCATAACCCCTGAGCATCCGGGGGCTCCGCCCCCTGGACCCCACGCCAATTCGCGACCTGCCAGTGTGACAAATAAGGTATAAAATATGCTTATCTGACGATAATTTAATGTTATAAAAACCCTGGGATTCTTGGGGCTCCGCTCCCTGGACCCAACACCAATTCGTGTCCTGCCAGTGTCACAAATAAGGTAAAAAAAATATGCTCATCTGAGCGTTATTTATTGCCCATAACCCCTGAGCATCCGGGGGCTCCGCCCCCTGGACCCCACGCCAAATCGCGACCTGCCAGTGTGACAAATAAGGTATAAAATATGCTCATCTGACGATAATTTAATGTTATAAAAACCCTGAGATTCTTGGGGCTCCGCCCCCTGGACCCAACACCAATTTGTGTCCTGCCAGTGTCACAAATAAGTTTGAAAAAATATGCTCATCTGACCGTTATTTATAGCCCAAAACCCCTGAGCATCGGGGGGCTCCGCCCCTGGACCCCACGCCAATTCGCGATCTGCCAGTGTGACAACTAAGGTATAGAAATATGCTCAGCTGACGATAATTTAATGTGTAAAACCCCTGGGATGTTGGTGGCTCCACCCCATGAACCCAACACCAATTTGTGTCCTGCCAGTGTCACACACAAATAAGGAAAAAAAAATATGCTCATCTGACCGTTATTTATTGCCCATAACCCCTGAGCATCCGGGGGCTCCGCCCCCTTGGACCCCACGCCAATTCGCGACCTGCCAGTGTGACAAATAAGGTATAAAATATGCTCATCTAACGATAATTTAATGAATAAAAACCCTGAGATTCTTGGGGCTCCGCCCCCTGGACCCAACACCAATTTGTGTTCTGCCAGTGTCACAAATAAGGTATCAAAATATGCTCATCTGACAGTAATGTATTGCCCAGAACCCCTGAGCTTCCGGGAGCTCCACCCCCTGGACCCAACACCAATTTGTGTCCTGCCAGTGTCACAAATAAGGTATAAAATATGCTCATCTGACGATAATTAAATGTATAAAAACCCTGAGATTCTTGGGGCTCCGCCCCCTGGACCCAACACCAATTCGTGTCCTGCCAGTGTCACAAATAAGGTATAAAAATATGCTCATCTGACCGTTATTTATAGCCCAAAACCCCTGAGCATCCGGGGGTTCCGCCCCCTGGACCCCACGCCAATTCGCGACCTGCCAGTGTGACAACTAAGGTATAAAATATGCTCAGCTGACGATAATTTAATGTGTAAAACCCCTGGAATGTTGGGGGCTCCACCCCCTGAACCCAACACCAATTTGTGTCCTGCCAGTGTCACAAATAAGGTAAAAAAAATATGCTCATCTGACCGTTATTTATTGCCCATAACCCCTGAGCATCCGGGGGCTCCACCCCCTGGACCCCACGCCAATTCGCGACCTGCCAGTGTGACAAATAAGGTATAAAATATGCTCATCTGACGATAATTTAATGTTATAAAAACCCTGAGATTCTTCGGGCTCCGCCCCCTGGACCCAACACCAATTTGTGTCCTGCCAGTGTCACAAATAAGGTATAAAAATATGCTCATCTGACCGTTATTTATTGCCCAAAACCCCTGAGCATCCGGGGGCTCCGCCCCTGGACCCCACGCCAATTCGCGACCTGCCAGTGTGACAACTAAGGTATAGAAATATGCTCAGCTGACGATAATTTAATGTGTAAAACCCCTGGGATGTTGGTGGCTCCACCCCCTGAACCCAACACCAATTTGTGTCCTGCCAGTGTCACAAATAAGGTATAAAAATATGCTCATCTGACCGTTATTTATTGCCCAAAACCCCTGAGCATCCGGGGGTTCCGCCCCCTGGACCCCACGCCAATTCGCGACCTGCCAGTGTGACAAATAAGGTATAAAATATGTTCAGCTGACGATAATTTAATGTGTAAAACCCCTTGGATGTTGGGGGCTCCACCCCCTGAACCCAACACCAATTTGTGTCCTGCCAGTGTCACAAATAAGATATAAAATTATGCTCATCCGCCGATAATTCTGAGGGCTCTTCCCCTGGACCCAGTGGCAGATCCCTGTGAAGAAAACGTGTAAAACGTTAATTTAACCTTTTTTTGGAGATGGGTGCGATTTTTCAAATTTTCGAGGGCCCCCAGAAAAATTAGTGCTCCCAACCCTCACCCCCCCCCCCTCCCCCACTGAGCGAAATATTGGCCGACACAATTTTCAAATTTCAGCACACTGAATTTCAAATTGATTTCAAATTTGGGCCCCCACCCCTAAGAAATCCTGGATTCGTGCCTTCGTTTGGGCCCAGTGGGGAAACTGAATTCAGACAAGGATTAAGAGTAGTGAACGGTTCAACGAATCGTCTTCTTTCTCTAATAATTTAATGAATTGTCAAAGCTTCCGCGCTTCGCGCTCGAGGGGAAAACTGACAAATAACTTAGTTTCTGGCCCCGGTTTTATAGGGTTAAATTTGTAGACATTGGGACATTGGCATTAACATATTTGTCGGTAATTCGTGGCTAGTTTTGTCGGTAATCGGTGGCCTCTACAACCCCCCCCTTCCCCACTGATAAAGGTTCAGCGACGCCCCTGATAACAACACAGTTTATACATTCGAGATAAGTTCTAAAATTCAAAATGCTTGCTACTCTGGGAGGGGTCAGAATCCCCTCCCTGACCCATCCCCGCTTGGTCGCTCCGCTCCCTCGCCACTAAAGCCTCGCTTTGTCGCTTCATCGTTTTACATAATTTCACCCCATGCTATTTTGTGCCCCCCCCCCCAGGAAGAAATTCCTGGATCCGCCACTGATGCCCCTAACCCTTGAGCTTCGATGGCTCAGCTTCGTTTTTGCTCATTACGCCACTGTTGAGACTTATAGTAAGTTCTGTCGAGGACCGAAGTAAATGACAGTTAACGATGTGGTAGGTGAGAGTAAAGTTCTGATGATTAGCGAAGGAACGAGAGTCGACGATATTCATATACAAAAATATACAACCAAGGCTTTTATCACAAAAGCGATGATGAAGCAAAGTCCGTCAAACTGTCAATTTAATTGATTTATTGCCGAAACAACACACTACAAAAGAAATATCACTCAATGCTGAATGGTGTAGAATCGAGGAGGACTAACTTAGCTTAGGTCGTCTCAGAACCGTGATCTAGTAGCGACTCTGACTAATATAAATTGTGGTGGGGAAATCCAAAAGAAAGACGGCTCCGGCGTACCGGCCGCTCTGAATAATCTTTAAGCCAATCGATTTGCTATAAATTTGACCAATATCAAGGTTTTCGTACACGGATAGTTAATTCCTTGGCTATCTGTACAAGCTAGTGCTAATTGATGAAGATAATATCCACAATTTTAACCCAAGGACAAACTCTTATCAATTCAAAACTTCTTTATATAATCAATCTATGAATACCAATTAATAACCTAAGAGATGGCATTATTTTAACATCGCTTGATACTCTAATGGACGGTGCTAAAATTAGAACCCGAACCGTAAATGGGGGAACCAGACAACTTTAAAATAGAGCCCTCCGCGGTGGAACTTCGCAAAATTACTCAGTCTACATAATTAACACATATTCAAGACACTTCACATGTATATATATTGTAGTTATGTGAACCATAACCATTTTCGAGCCATTTCTGGTGACGGACGAATGTGGAAGACGGCATTTATTTGTTTGGCAAAATAAATCAAGCTTTTCTATCTGTAAACTGATCAATAATGACTGAAAATCTACATTAAACTTGTGCGTTTGTTTATTGCCTCAATTCCTCATCACTTATCAGATCATGGAGACGATGCTATTTTTTGGCGTCGTGCTTATTGGATGTTTTACAATATGCAGCGGATCAGTTTCAAGCACATCGCGATTTTGTGTGATCGCAAATCGAGTCGGGAGCAGTGGGGTTGGGCGCCAACGCCTGCTTGCTTTCAGATCAAATGCTGCAGCTTCTCCAGTTTCCGTGGAAGTGAGCTACGGAGATGTGGACCCCTCCGCGGCTGGTTGGAGCCCCTGGAAGACTATTGGAGCTCCGTTGGCCAGTCCGCCGCTCTCCAATCCTGTGTGTGAAATGACAGAACAAAATCAAACCCAGGTTTGTCTCTTTTATTACCTTATGAATGGGGGGGGGGGGGGGTCACAAGTTAAGGAGAGGGTAATATAATTATGAAAGTGACATCACCTTCTTCCTCTTCTCCTCCTCCTTCTTCTTTGTCTTCTTCCCTTCTCCATTTTCCCTTTCTTCCTTTTCTTATATTTTCTTCTTCTTCTTCTGCTTCTCCTTCAAGTTCTCCTTTTTCTTTCGAATTTAGCGCTAATAACGAGAACACAAATTTAAATAAAAGTTTATACAAAATTAATATAAACAAAAAAATGGGAAAGAACTTATCTCACGTACAATTAATTAAAGCAATAATGACATGTTCATTCTTGAACTGATTTTTAGATATCGTGTGAATTCTAATTTGAAATGTGCAACTCAAAACAGTTTTTACATTGTTTTAAAGCCCCACTGTCCTACTTGTAGCTACTTGCTCCCTCTATATAGAAAACTTCCCCAATCGTAGCCTGTTGGTCCCCCATGATCCTCTATTTCTAATGTTAGTTGAGAGCTGAGTTGATGAGATAGCCACCTGCCAGTGACCTCGCTGTGTGGTCTAATCCCTCCTAGCCACCCCGAGTTTTAAGACTTCTAAAAATACACGTCTATATTGAAATAATATGATTTCCTGATCGTTCCCGATCTTTTTTGGACGACAAAATTAAACTGACTATTCTTTTTTAATATCATGATTATAAATATTTGACGCACAAGTAAATAATGCCTATTTATTAATCTATATCTGAATTATATATGTTTAGGGAGCAAAACAAGTTGTTTTGATCCTTGATTAGGTCAGCATTTTCAAGTTCACTGCTCCCGACCAATTCCAAGATTTGTGTAAAATCATCTCAGACTGTATCAAGCAGTAAGGCCATCGAAAGCTTGAATCACATAAAACATCAAGTAAAGGTACACTGTTGGCCATATTAATGGTGGAATAATTATTTTTACCCTTATTTATGAAATGATTTGTACAATGATTTATTCCTAATAGATCTAGATAAAAGTATACATTCTAAGATTTCATTGAATAATAATTTGTGAGTGTTTGTTTTGCGTGACTGCTAAAGCATGTGTATGCTACTATGCTAATCAACTAGGGGACCTACGTCCTTAAGTCATAATTGACAGTAATGAAGATTAATGCCTCATAAAAGGACACTAATATAGCTGATCGACACGGTTTTTATTCTGGGGCCTAACAGGAACAAGGACATTGCTTAGCCACTGAATAATGACTGTACGCAGCGGGGGCTAGGGTACGTCGCCGCCCCCACAAATACCGAAAAACAAAGAAAATGCAATAAATCATCAATAATGCATTGCATTTTTTCCCGGTCCCCAACAGGAAAATTCCTCTGTACACACTAAGAAAAAATGGTGCAACTATGCACCTTTAGGGGTTCAAACCGATGCAACAATAGCAGCACCTTTAGGGGTTAAATCCTGCACCCTTTTTAAAGGTGCAATCCTGCACCCTTCAAAAGGGTGCCAGATTGAACCTTTTGGGTGAAATGTTAGTACCCTTTATGGTTCAATCCTGCACCTTTAGGGGTGCAAACCGATGCAACAATAGCAGCACCTTTAGGGGTTAAATCCTGCACCCTTTAAGAGGGTGCCAGAATGCACCTTTTAGGAGACATGTCAGTACCCTTAATGGTTCAATCCTGCTCCTTTATGGGTGCAAACCGATGCAATAGCAGCACCTTATAAAAGGGGTTCAATCCTGCACCCTTTAAAAGGTGCAATTCTGCACCCATCATCGAGGAATACTCGTGACATTTGCCCGTACACATATACATATTAAACATGCATGATGTTTCTTGGTTAGTAATCATATAATCAATATATAAATTGCTAAAACGTGAATGTAATTGTTACATGATCAGACAAAAAATATATTGGTTAATGACTGCCGAAGGAAAATACAAATCACAAAATCGATGTGCATTGTCATAATTTGCTTAACAAATCATATGATAAATGTATTTTTATGTGAACACGTGAAAAGTAATCATGAATATGCATGCAATATGCAAACTTTTATTTTGCACCTTTTTGGGTTGTTAGGGTTCATTTTTATGGGAAGGGTGCAGAATCTTATATTGCACCCTTTTTTGAACCCCTTTTCCCTCAATAGGGTTCATTTTTATGTAAAGGGTGCAAACTCTTATTTTGCACCCTTTTTTGCACCCTTTTTTCTTAGAGTGTAGGGCCATGCATTATGGTTCAAGGCATGCCGTCATAGAGGATTTTGTATCGTCATTACTGTTAGTTATGACTAAAGGACGTAGGTCCCGTGGTTGATTAGCATAGTAGTACACACATGCTTTAGCACTCACGCAAAAATAAACACTCGCAAATAATTATTCAATAAAATCTGAGAATGTATACTATTATTTAGATCTATTAGGAAAAAAATCATTGTCAAAATCATTCCATAAATTGGGGTAAAAATAATTATTCCACCTTTACGACCAAACAGTGTATATTTTGACAGGATTGCCACCCATGTCTTGATCAGGTACTAAAATGCCCTCGCACTATCATTATTCTAACGTAGATCTTTGTGCAAGCATCTGATGGGCAGGTCTACTCGGTGATTCAAGATACCATCAATTTTTTGAACTTCTCTTCGTGGAAGAAAGTCGGTTCCAACTCCATCCCGACCAGCTTGAAAAATCGATCATTGCTCGTCGATTCCGTATCTGCAGTCTGGTATCACAAGGAACGTATGATATTTGCTCGCTCTATCAGTACTTCTTCAATGCTGTATTGGTGTAAAGGTATGTACATTATAAAGAATGGGTAACCTGATAACAATAATGACGATGATGAATGATGATAATAAAAAAAAAAAAATAATGACAATAATACTAATAAATAGACATTGACTTAGTCACGCAGACAAATTGGGTGACATAACACATGTATAAACTCAAAGGGAGATTTGGTCTTTGAGAGAAAAAAACCCTCGTCCTCTAATCATTTAGTACTCAAGGATGTAGAAACAGTAGATTTGATTATGCTAACTATTACTCGGTTCAACCATGTTACCATTAAATTAGTGACAGGAGTAGGCGAAAAACAAAACCGACGTTCATAAAGTTAAAGTTCCGTTTATGTATTATTATACGAATATGTCGAATCGTTAAGAGCAGCAAGAAAAACGATGTTGACTCGTGAGGAGAAAATGTGCAGATGAGAATTGTAAGAACTAAGAGGTATTCTCCGAATCTGACCATGAGACGAAAAGGCTAGATTCACGACCCGACCAAGCATTTTGTTTTGCAAGCGGCTTGGATGGGCCTGTGATGAGGATAACGAGTAGAAGGAGCGTTAATCCTAACCAGAGGACTTGTGGTCAGATGTTTATAGTTTGGCGAAAGCAAAGAGAAGTGAAGGAAAGTTGTGTAGTAATGAGATCGACAGATCGAGAGAAAGAGAATGTTGAAACACCACACTAATTTGGAGATTTGCTACACTAGGTCGATCACTTAAAAACACGGAGTCAATGAGAAATTCGGACTTTGAAAAAAAATCCCAGCTAGCTCCATCATATTATACGTAAATTAATCAAGTAGAAACCATAATGGCAGATTGTGTAGTCTTCACCTTAAAACGGGCCACGACTACGAGCCCTCTTCTAATAAAAAAAATGAACCCCTTTACATTTGCACAGTAGCAACAATATGACAACTTTCTGGCATAAAGCTATATGACAATTTTTCTATAGGCCTATCTATGAAAATCTATACCACAAAAAGACAGTAAATCTTCACCACTTAATCTAACGTACTGTAAATAACATTTAAAAAACCTACCCAAATCTGGTTATATAAGGTACTCTTTTTATTTTTAAATAATTTTTTTCATTTGCCACAAATTAACAAACATATATTCAAGATAATTCAAATTTATAACATGAATAAAATTTACTACTCAAGATACAAATATTTGTTGAACTGTCGAGTTAACAGAAGACATACATATTTTCAATAATGGATTTCTGATGTTCATGAACAACAAAGATGGAAGAAACAATATAAAAGAGACATATTATATTTTGATTATTAGGCTATATACAACTACTTTGTTGTGACCACTGCTCATGATTAAAACAAAAATAGAAATACACAATTCAGAAGAAAAAATCTTTTTATATGAACAAATTCCTGAATTAAAACCATTTTCTTTTTTTGACCTTATCACTTATCACAGTTCGAATCTGCAATACACTTTTCATTTTTGAAATAATTTATAATCGAAACTCTAAAATTATCAAAGTCGGGTTATGTTTTCTTTATTTTGCACGTATACACCATCAGTTGCCCCACAATCGGTATTCAATTCAATGCATTACTATTTGAACCTCTTAAACCAAGTAATTTATCTTGTAAAATAAAATGAAAATATTATTCTATTTCCGGTTCTAGTATAAATCCAGTGTTCCAACCTATTCCAAATATGTTTAACATGCGTACAATCACATAGCAGATGTATAACTGTCTCGCTCTGTCATTACAAAATGTACATTCTTCTCCTGGGACTATATTAATTTTAAAGAGTAAATCATTCGTATTTAATATTTGCTGCAAAACCTTAAACTGAAACCATCGTAAGCCGACACCAATGGTACAATTAAATCTAATGGAATAATATGTTTTCCAACTCTTGTTATTCAGGTCGAAAAGGCATTTCCATTTAAGATTTTTTTTTAAATTCACCTCTCCTTCTCTTTAATAAATTTGCATAGATATGTGAACACCCATTTTATTGTGTTGTTTTTTTTAATTTAATTTTTAACTATAATTCAAACATTTTGAACCACAAAATAAACACATAAAAAACTATAAACAAGACCAAATAATAATACGTTTCATAACCAATGCCATTGTATCTGGAGAAAGAGGTTGTAGCACCCTGTTAAAAAAAGTACATTGCTAAACCCTTCTCTAATTGCATCGCATAACCCACGATTTTCATTTTCATACAAGATAGAATGTTACGAGTTTGTCATATTGATTTGAATGAGACAGGTGTGAATATTTGCTCTACATTTCTATGCCAGTTCGAAATACCGGGAGAGAATAAGTAAGAAATCAATATTATTGCTGTGTACGTTGAACCTGCTGTGGTGGGTTTTTGTTGTTTCTTGTTACAGATAATGAACGAGCTTTCGAGTACTTGTGAGGCAGTAACATTCAATTGAATCTTATGGGACGATTCAGCATTTAATAATTTAATGATACCTTGTCCTTACTTGAGAATACTATACAAATTGACTGTCAAGAAGTTGAGTTCTCTCGATTTTTATGTTAAATGCTTGGTCGCCAGTGCTGAACGTGATGACTCTATTTTATTTCATTTATCGAATCATTATTGGTTCTTTCGTAAGAAAGCGTTTTGTACTGATACAGCGCTCTTTGTTGATATATAGAGAAAGATATGAGATCATATAGATTATTTTCTCTTTTATTCTGTAAAGCATAAATAAAATTGTAAAATGTCAAGTAAGGGATCAGGTATTGCAAATCTGAATATGAAAGTTAGAAACAGTTGCATTGAAACTAACATGCCATTGAAGCTAACTGCAGCTATAGACACCGCTTATCGTTATTCACATTAAAGATGCATACACACACAATACAAGTGTATGCAAGGTATTCTGTTCTCTACACAGATTGATGCACGTGTAATACGTACATGGATATTTGATTTTATTATATAATCAATATATCGGGGTAAAAAAGTATCAATCGGCAATTTATATGACACAAAGCAAGATAATATTTTGGTACCAATCTTTTGCTTGTGTTATATATGTATGAAACTTAATGTTTCGTACATATTGTTGCTGCTTTTGGTTGGATGCCAAAAACTGATGTTGAGTACTTACCCTTTGTCTATTACATTATCTGCTTTAAAAAAAGAATACATGTAATGAGATATAAGATCATTTTAGTGAACCTTTTCATTATTATTGTGGTTGCATATATGAGACGAAATTACAAATCTTTTTGTGCCTTCGGGAGGAAGGGACGAAGAGAATTTGGTTCTTATTAAAATAGAATATTGTTGTCTTTTTTAAACAGAAGACGTTATTAAATCAATAGTTTTAATCATATGAAAGTGACCTCTTCTACACAGATTTACTTTTTTGTTGTTGTTGAGGATATCAGAATATTAATGTGAGGCCTTGGAAGGACAAAATATCATATAGTTTTCTTTTTCTTTAATTCCCAGAGGACAATTACTCCCCGAAAAATATAAAAACAATTAACTATCAGGGTGGACTTCCCCTTTAATCGACTGGGGATAATTTTCTGGGGGGGGGGGGTCGTCCACGGAAATGGTTGTCCCTAAGTGGAATCATGTTATAACATGTTTACAAAGCTTAGTTCAAAATCCACTCTTTGTCAATAAAGACTCCCTTTTAATGAGGGACTTAAATATTGAATGTAGTTCCCAGAATATGTCTCAAGAGTTTATAGAAATAATTGAAGGCAATAACACTTGGCTTTTCTTTATAAAAATAATAAATACAAAACTAATGCAAAGAATAAAGTCTACCTCTATGCAAACGTTTAAAACATGTTTTTCATGTTGGTGTTTGTTTTGTAATCCTCATTTGAATTATTCCTATTCTACACGTCTAAACGTAAGCCTACATACGAATATACTTATCAAAGCATTGTCCCGCACCAGACTATAGGACAAATTTAATTGTACAGAAGGTCAAAATGAAGTTCTTTGTCATCAAAATATCCAGACATCATTATAGAGCACGTGATCGTGATAATGCTAACAATATCTCTTTTTCCCCAAATCGGGTACTAGATTAATCATTAATTACCAAAGAACAGCCGTTAGCAAATTAGTGAAAATTCCTTTATATAATTGAAAAATCATAGAACCGAATTTTTGGAAATGTGCTTTGAATAATATGTTGCCTTTTTAGTGGCGTGGTATATTTTATTGGAGATCTCTTTTTATTCATCTATGATTCAAAGAATAGTGTCACCATCATTTTTTCCTGTTTTGTATCGATCGATCACCCAACAAACTGAATGTCAATAACTATTGATTAGTGATTGTTAAGGAGGTATTGTCCTGAAATAAGTATTATGTATCACGAAAAAATGAGTACATAGTTCACGAACAGCTTATTTTATCAATTGTGTTTATAATTTTATAACATTTTATAACATGTTTATAAATATTAGTTCGAAATCCACTCTTTGCCAGTAAAGACTCCTTTTTCATTGAGGGACTTAAATATTGATTTAATGAAATGTTCTTCTCAAAAAACGTCTCAAGGGTTTATAGGAATATTTATGTTTTTACCGAGATAACTATAAAAAACCACGTAATGAGAAACTATAATTGACACCATTGCAAAGCACACGATCGTGATAATGCTATCATTCTCTCTTTTCTTACCAAATTGCGTAAATAAATCATTAATTACTAAAGAACAGCCATTAGCACATCAGAAAAAATTACTTTTACATATTTGAAAATCATGTAACCGAATATTAGGTAAATGTGATTTGGAATATATGTTACCTTTTTAGTGGCGTGATATGTTTTATTTGAGATCTCTCTTTATTCATCTATGTTTCAAAGAATAGTGTCACCATCATTTTTCCTGTTTTTATCGATCACCCAACAAACTGAATGTCAATAAATATTGATAAGTGATTGTCCAGGACGTATTGTCCTGAAATAGGTATATATGTATCTCGAAAAAATGAGTATATAATTCACGAACAGCTTAATTGTAGGAACGATGTTGTTGAATCAATTTTTGTAGAATTAGTAAACACTAATGGCAAATATCAATTGGTGTCATTATATTGACCCTACACGCTAAAGTCTAATTTGAATCATTTTATAACATGTTTACAAATCTTAGTCCAAAATACACTCTTTGCTAATAAAGACTACTTTTTAATAAGGGACTTAAATATTTATTTAATGTTACGTACTTCCCCGAATACGTCTCAAGAGTTTATAGAAAAACTATAATTGAAGGCAATTGCATCTTGCTTTCCTTCATTTAAATAATATATACAAAAATAATGCAAAGAATAAAGTCTACATTTATGCGAATGTTTATAACATGTTATTCATGGTGGTGTTCGTTTTATAATCCCCATTTAAATTATGACTATGTTACACGTATAAACGTAAACACAAGACGAATATAGATAGTTATCAAAGCATTGTCCCGTACCAGACTTTAGGGCAAATTAGATTGTACAGAAGGTCAAAATGAAGTTCTTTGTCGTCAAAATATCCAGACATCATTATAGAGGACATGATGGAGATAATGCTAACATTATCTCTTTTCTTCCCAAATCGCGTAAATAAATCATTACTTACCAAAGAACAGCCGTTAGCAAATCAGTGTAAATTTCCTTTATATATTTGAAAACCATAGAACCGAATATTATGGAAATGTGCTTTGGATAATATGTTACCTTTTTAGTGGCGTGATGTGTTTCATTTGATATCTCTATTTATTCATCTATGTTTCAAAGAATATTGTCACCATCATTTTCCCTGTTTTTATCGATCACCCAACAAGCTGAATGTAAATAATTATTAATAAGTGATTGTCCAGGAGGTATTTTCCTGAAACAGGTATATATGTATCGCGAAAAAAGGAGTATATAGTTCACGAACAGCTTATTTGTACAACGATGTTGTTAAAGGACTCTTTGTAATTGGTGTCATAAAGCCCCACCCCCCTCTCAAGTATTATTTGAATCATGTCATAACATGTTTATAAAAATTAGTTCATAATCCACTCTTTGCCAGTAAAGACTCCTTTTTTAATGAGGGACTTAAAAATTGATTTAAAGCTATAGACCAGTTATGGTCATGCAAATGCATAGTAAAAGAAACGTTGTGAAATCGATCAGAAAAGGTTGATCAACTAGCATAGATGTACTGCAAGGTTCTGGAATCATCAAAATTATAAGAAATTTGGCCAAGTCTTCATAAAGTTAGAAGCACTGTACACAGAAAGATGTATATGGGACTACACACACGTGCGCGACACGTGCATTTGTATCTCTCAACAGTTTATAGATATACTAATTTACCAAATATTTTTATCGTCATGTAATATTCAAAACATATTCTTTCACATGATTGGTAATGAGAGCTTCCATTTCATTTTTTGAGATTGGGGCGTTTCCAATACTGGTCTTTACCTTTAATGATATGTACTTCTCAGAATACGACTCCAGAGTTTATAGAAATATTTATTTATTTACAATGAAAAACCATGTAATGAGAAACTATAATTGAATGCAATTACATTTTGCTTTTCTTCATAAAAATAATAAATACAAAAATAATGCAAAGAATAGAGTCTACATTTATGCTAACGTTTATAACATGTTTTTCATGTTGGTGTTCGTTTAATAATCCCCATTTAAGTTATTCCTATTCTACAACTCTAAACGTAAGCACAAGACGAATATAGAAAGTTATCAAAGCATAATTGTCCCGCACCAGACTATAGGGCAAATTTGATTGTACACAAGGCCAAAATGAAGTTCTTTGTCGTCAAAATATCCAGACACCGTTATAGAGGACATGATGGTGATAATGCTTTCATGTTAATACGGGAGTAGACTTAACAGGACAGTGGTCTTTGCTAATCCCTCACATCCACTTATTCACAGTGTTACACAAATCTTGTTCATATGTATCATTTGTGTATTGTATTATTTTATTAAGTACTTGGCATCACATGTGCCTGGTTGGCTAAAAGCGAACTGAATTACTGTATCCCTCGGTTCTCTGCTCCCAGCCTAACTGATTGGGGATGTGCAGGTGGGCTACAGCGCTGGGGTTTCCCCTACTCTTATACGAATAGTGCAGCAAGTTCTTAACGTTCAAAGGTGTTGACTGCCCTTTAAAAGGGACCTTCATTGAACGTCCTTTCAGAAGGACAGAATGTTTTCTACAGGGCAGGGGCACAACTCTAGCCTCAGAAATCCGCCTGGGCTGAATTTGAACATCACTCATGATCTTTAAAGAGACAGGCAGAGGATTTTACCTGCTTAACCAACTCGCCTCCTCCTATTTTCTGTTCTTTTAAAACTATTTCTGAATACATTATAGTTTTTAACAGATGTGAAATAAATGTTTTTGAATTTTGAATTTGAATAGGCACTCCAACCAACTGTACTTGGGGTCTTGTATCCGGTACTACGCTCCTTGGAACAGACGCTACGCTGATCAAGAATCCTTTCACGGCCAAGTACGAAGGATTCATGATATCTCAAAAAGGGAGGATATACCGGACATGGCAGCACGCCAGTGGCAACAGCTTTGCAGGCTGGAAAGAAATGGCTTGTTAGAACTTCTTTTTTTTTATTCCGAATTATTTAGCCCAGGGGTGGGGGGGGGGGACATTGCTGTACACACATGCATCCAAACAAAATGTGTTAAAAGGGTGGTTTGTAGTCGTTAAGGCGTGTGATGCATGTATGGCGTCAAATGTTTGCAAAAGGATGTTTGTTGAGTTTTTTTAAATTGCATTTTAGGTACCCTCTTTGGGCTAAAGGTTTAATTGAGAAAGACCTTAACGTTTAGGGGATACTTGTACATTGAATGTTCAAGGGGGGATGAGGTGAAACGTGTTTAGGGGGTAAATTTTGACGAGAACAATTGCGGGAATGGGTGAAAAGGGTGTGAATTTGACCAATGCAAATGGGTAAAAACTCGTTCAGTGGGGTTTTGGAAAAGCAGTGGATACGCACATGTGTACAATTGATTCTAACTGCCTCTCCCCCCTCCGAATTATATTGTAATTCTCACTCTCATTACTTTGTATGAATGTTCACCGGGCTTCAGTGTGGCTAAATTATGGAACGGATGATAGGTACACCATGTATCGCTAATTATGTTTTACAATAATGACTTTATGCTTACTTCGGGAAGAGAAGTTGTTTTTGACAAGCTATAACATTACTAAAGGCCTGTCTGACCTATTAACAACTAATGTATGCAGAGTGGAATAAACCCTTATAGCTGCTGTTATGCATAGCAGGTGGATTAAATGTACATAAGTTAGAAGCGCATTGCTGTAAATCGGTCTATTAAAAGCCATACTGTACTAGAACCACTACCGCAAAGACCTCTCTAGTGCAATCTCAGGTCAGCTGTAGCAGTATGGTCCCGTCACTCGCTGATTCCTGGCTGCGCCATTGGTTCTCGCATCGCGTCATCTGTCTGCGAAGTGGAAGTTAAGCCCCTTTCACACCGGATCTGCGTAGAGTTGCGTCGTGTAGCGGACCGAGTACGCCGACATTAGGCTGCGTATTCATGAAAAAAGTTGGCGTACGATTGCGTATGGTTACGTACCCTGGGCGTTAGCACTGCTTACGTAGGCCTGGCGTAAAGGGTACGTACAATGTAGGTGCAAATGTCGGATCTAGGACGCCTTTATACACTTTCACTGCTTAGTCGGACTGATGTAGGGTAGCGGTCAATTGCGTAGGCATGGCGTACAGTAGCGTAATGTTGCGTAGTGGTGCGTAGACTCGCGTACAAAATGCGTACAGTATGTATTATGTAAGGATTAGCGGAGTAAGAGAATGAATTGAATGTATCAAATGAAATGCATTGCATATGCTTTTTGCAGAAGCAAAGTCGCACACACACACACACACGCACAATTGTTTGTTGATATTTGATATGTGTGGCATGATTAATTTTGTTAGGGATGTTATTTGGATCTGCAAAGACCGAATTAATATCCAAATCTCAATTGTTTAATTCAAATATCACATACGCAACTTTGGCGCAAATCGATTTTTGCACTCTCGCAAACAATGCCTCCTGTTCATCCAAGCGTTAACGCAAACCACACAAAGATGAAACCAAACGATTTGGCATAAAACACTCTTTCATAAGATGGATAATAATTTTCTGTTCATTCATAATTTTAAAAATAATTACCAATTTTCTAGGTGTAAACTTTTTTTTGACTCACACTGTAGTGTCTACGCCGAAAGTACGCTATTTTGTTGCGTCCATCCTGCGTACTGCTTTGCGTCCTTCAGGGTAAAGTTACATAGGCCAGCGTAATGCAGCGTACACTCGGCGTAGTCGGCACGTAACTCTACATATGGCCAGGTGTGAAAGGGCCTTTAGGTATTAGCATTCAACTCCCTGGTATATTGTAATTTTTAAGCACTGTTGGAAAGTTGACCATGAGATGGCGCTGTGCAATAAACAGTATGCTAGGGCTGTAAGTTCATTAGTTCAATATAACTTTAAACAAGAACCTCAACCACCCCCGCCCCCTTCCTCTTTTCTTTCAGCTGCACCTCACTTCTCTGTTGTCTCCAGACCTGTCGCTCAAGTAATGGGCTACAACGGTTTTAACGGCAAGATCATGGTAGGGGGGATCGGAGTGGACAACTTCGTACACAGGTGGGTATGCCGCAAAATCAAAGAGAACTCACACCTTAAAAGTAAACTAATAATGCATGATATTTTTTTTGTACACAACAAATAAGTACTCTTTGGCGATATTTATACCATGGGTGAATACGTGCAATTTGTCCTGTCACTTTTTGAAAATGAAGCAGCACCACGTGTTAGGTACTGCACTGTTCTTTGACTGTTTAACGATCAAATCCGACCAGCTCATAAAACACAAGTGCTATACATTTACCTCAGAGTTTGCTTTGCACTTGTGCTTACTGGTAATAGAATTGGTATTAGAAGCAGATATGTTAACTTCAGTGTAGTAACCAATCTTCGCTCCTCTTAGGACACTTTTCTGCGTCCATGTACCATTCCATAAACATTTGTTGCAAAGCTGGGGATCGCATATTTACTGGAACTACATCTAAAGAATGAAACACTATCCCATCTTTCATCAAGTCAGCTAATTCTACAGACAAATTTAAGAAATTCTTGAAAACAAGGAGATGTGAGTTAATCTCACGCCACGTTCAATTGGTCAGCTCTCTGTCTTCGCCTTTAAACTGCCTCAGGCGTCCCCGGTTCGAAACTTTTGGACGGTGCCGTTAAAGGTCGGTTCTCAAACGTAAAAAATCATATCTGATTGATACACGTCAGTCTGTAAAAAAACCTCCCAATTACACACACACAAGCATTTTTAAAATGTTTTTTTAAAAGTAATTTTTTTTATCGCTCCTAATGTGCAATACAAACAAAAACATACAATTTGATAAAATAAACGTTTTAAATATTGATTGCTTATACAAAAACATAATCAAACAAAAACCCATTTGCAGTAAATATAACTTAGCAACAAAGTAAACTTATAAGTACCTTAACATAATAAATATGTCAATTGTAAATGTTATTCACTTATAAAAAATATAACAAATCTGGAGGTTATGTTATCGGAACACTGCCTGCTCCTCTCTGCCCCCTTCCCTCACTCAAACACACCCACTCTCCCATCCACACACACACACACAATATATATATATATATACTCAATAAGTAAGTTAACTAGGCCGCAAAATAGAGTAACACTTTTAACAAGCTCACGGTGGAGAGGGAAACAAATCTAAATTACCACCAAGCTGCTCCAACTTTAAGAAATGTGATCCCAGCTTTTCCATTCTAATGGCTATTTTCTTTTCCTCATCCCTATACTTAAAAATGCTTTTCTTCATCTTTTCTTAAGTAGGTACTTCACATACTTCACCATGAAAATTATAGCATACACACACACTCAAACACACACGCACACACCTCCTCCCATATTAGTTAAACCTCCTTACATTACATTGCTTTATTCTTCCTTTTTGTTTAGGTTGAATTCAAAATCTTACATTATTTATTTTGTAAGTGCATGATGTGATGTGATTGTACTATGTAGAACGTACTATATGCTAGTTAATATCACAGTTATATTGACTGCTATGAAAAATATAGTTGTTTTTATACGCTCAAGGGGAGGTTACATGATCGTGTTATAGCCCCAAGGCGTGCCGAGGGGTGATAGCACGGTCATGTAACCTCCCCGAGAGCCTATAAAAACAAATATGCCTCGAAAATTAAAGTAGTCATTATAACTTGTATATACCGAAAAGGGTCAAAGAACACATGTGCGACTTACCAATCATGGTAATCAAGTTCGTATACGCTATTGAGACCACTTGAGTTTGTGTGCTAAAATTCTTCCCATTGAGATTGCATGCATATACGTAAAATGCCAAAACCGTAAATAGTCTTTTGTTGACCGGTTTTGGAATTTTTTTTCTCAAAAGACTATTGACCGGTTTTGGCATTTTATGGGAATGGCTAAAATTACGATTCCAATTTCAACCAATCAGATGGCTGGATTTCTAAAGTGAGGAATATAACAAATTTTATTTTTATTAACTCTATTTTCTGTGTGTGATTGCGATTATCAGGTGCCTCCAGCTTACCTGTGACACAGTGGATAATCCTTGGAGTTACTGCACGTGGGGAAACTGGCATCAGACTGGGGGGGAAATTCCATTTGACAATGGAGGGATGCACAACAACTTGGTCATGAGCAGGAATGTACACTTTGGAGTCGAGATCTTTGCAGTCCACGAAACAAATGGGCAGTGAGTAAATCCAGAGACCGACGATTCTCTCATTTATAGGCCGCGATATAGAAATAGATAGTAATCAAATATTAAGGCGAGGTGTCAAAAATATCGATACCAGCAGGCTGCCGCCTCACGTATTGGCGCATCGAGGCTGCAATTACGACCGAAGCCTGGCTGGGGCAATTATTTTTCACTTATTAGCCCAGCCGGCTTGCGCCAGGCTGGGATCTGAGGCTCGGTTTCCATTCGAAAGGCGGCAGCCGGCGCATGCTTTTGAATGCCATTTCCTACCGCCAGCGGTAGCCGGCTGAGCTAATTTAAAAAATGCAGCCAGGACGCACAAGTGCAGTTAGCTGCCGCTGGCTGGTATATTTATTTTTGACGCCTCGCGGGTAATGGTATAGTAATAATGACTGCTTTGAGAGACATAGTTGTTTTTCATACGCTCAAGAGGAGGTTACATCGGTGCTATTGCACGAGGCGTGCCGAGGGTAATTGAGACACTACATGGACACCTGCACAGCACCTACTTCAGTACGAGAATACACCCGGCGGCGCGGTGGCCTGTACTTATAGCGAAGAAGAAGAATGTACAATTCGCGCCATTGCGCGCGAACACATCACACCCAATGGCATACACCCGGTACCCTACAACACAGTGGAACATTCTAAGAAATTGAAAATTTATCTACAAAATAGACCTCTTGAATCATCTGAGACGTAACTTACCCTGTTCTGATGACTTCAATGAATGTCAATATAACAATGGCTGCGTTTCATTCCAAAAATAAAACTAGTTTGCAATTAGAAATAGTCCATTTCTCGATAATTTCACAAAATATATTTGCCGCCGCATTCAATATGGCGTCATTGACAGCTGATTGGCTAGTTTGGGAGTGACGTCGAACGAGCTAGATTTTTGCTGCAGTGATCCAGCGAACGAAAATGAGACAATCGGAGCAATATGGCAGACAGTTAAGCTTCAGCTAGTTTTTATTCGCGGCGAAGCGATGAAAAAATATGTCGACTTGCGCCGCCCCGCAGCGCTATATAAAATACATAGGTCTAGACTCTTTATGACTGTGAGCAGCAAAGTATAGCCATACAAATCTAACAATTTATTGATTGAAATGAATATTGTAGATAAACTTACCTCAATTGTTATCTTTCCACTGTCTATGGTCCAACGCCAATACTTATAATTAGCTTCCAATAATGCCGAATGATTTCGGCAACAAACATTGCTCAGAACCGTGAACGTTTCAATTCAGTTAATGCATAAATGTAATAAAGTCGATGCGCGCGCATTTGAATTTTCTAACGCTTTAATTTAAGCGTCGTTGACTTGTAGTTTGGCCTAAAAACACACTGACATTTCGCGAAACCTACTTTGCTATGCCTATTTAATGGGCAAGTGGGGCAATAGCCAAAAAATACTATCAATCGTGTCAAAAGTACTGTACAAAAGTACTATACCACCCCTAACTCACGGCAATGAAGTAAAGATAAATCTACCATTGATCATGTGACCTTGTTTACACCAATCAGATTGCAAGATTCTTAGAATGCGGGATATAAAGCAGATTATATCCCTCATGTATAGTTGTTTGCATTGCGATAGTACAGAGCACGAAAAAGGTATAGATAATTACTATTTACCTGAGATAGGTCTTTTTGTAAAGTATTTTTTTGCTGCTGCCCCACTTGCGCGACTTATGCATTGATAGCAAAGTAGGTTACGCGAAATGTCAAAGTCAATGTCAATGTCAAATGAGCGCGCATCGACTGTATTACATATGTACGCATGTTGTGCTTTGAAAAGCTAGCTGAAGCTAAACTGTCTGCAAAATCGGTTGTTTTAATTATGTAAAATTCACTTTAAATATACCTTATTGCCGATGTGGGATATAAAACAAATATTAACCTCCTTTACTCGGGCAATGGATACAAACTATTACCCTCGTAGTCGATTAATATTTGCTTACTAAATGTCAGGCCACGAGACCGCCAGCACCCACAATACCAACAATGCCGGTCTCCGAGGCCTTCTGGAAACTTGATGGGGTTCACAAAACCAACGTCCCACAAGACCGACACCATATAAGACTAACATTTGATTGGTTCAATTTACCCGACACTTTATGATATCAACAAAAGGTCTCTTCCTAAAGGCCGGCTCACACTATGACGAATAGAGGGGGTACCGCAAGCTACGTTAAACTACGAATTTCAATATTAAATTTTCCGCCAATCATCGTGTGTTGCCTTCAATTGTCGCTGACGAATCCGCTAGCGACCGCAGGCGGCCGAGATTATCATTCGCGTCCGTCGGCAAATTTATATCAAGTTAAACAATTTGTGGCGGCAAAGAAATTCGTTGTGATTCCGTTCAGATTCCGTTGGATACCACAACCCTCATTCCCTTGACGTTTCCATGCCGTGCGATTCCGTCTCTAGTCGTTTTGCGATCGTCACAATTTCGTTGGTATTCGTTGTCAACGACCAACGAACCCTGACGACATATTGCGGCAAGTAACGAAGTTGTAACGACCTTGGTGCGACGATGGATTGCGAATTTTCGCCGGAGGGTGACGGGTGATGACTGTTGATGGCAGGTCGTTTGCAGCATTGCTACAGTGGTCTGCGATGGTCCACGATTTTAAAATTTTAGTGCAATTTTTCACGTTTTGTGGCGTCAGTTTGTTTTCAATAGACTGTCCGGCACGATGCAATTTTGAGGTTGATTTAAAAAAGAAAGTCACGTCATCGTTGCCGCAACCCAACGTCAGCCAGCCAATCCTTTGCCAGCCGTCTGACCTCGTTCCTTGTTGCCGGCAAATTTTCAGCATGTTGACAATTTTGCTGACGGCAAAAAAAATTCGTGATTCCGTTCAGATTACGTTGGAGACCGCCAATCTCAATTCCTTGACGTTTCCATGCCGTGCAATTCCGTCTCTAGTCGTTTTTAATCGTCATAATTCGTTGGTAGTCGTTGTCTTTGTCATTGTCAACGACCATCGACAGCAAAACAACGGCAAGTGACGTCACATCTCGAACCCTGGCGACACATTGCGCGGCAAGTAACGAAATTGGTGCGACGATGGATTGCACGGTTGGTGACTGTTGATGGTGGGTCGTTTGCGAGTACCTGCGGAATTGCAACGGTGGTCTGCGATGGGCTACGATTTTGCAACGATTTCTCCGTCGAGACATCGTCATTCACCGCCCAGACAACGTACGATTTTGGTCGCTAGACTCCGTCTGCGAATCTTGCTTTTTCCACCTTTTGCCGTCGTTTTACTGCCAAAATTGTGTGATTTTCACGTTCGTCGCCTTTCGTGGGGTCTTTGCCGCTACTATGTGAGCCGGCCTTAGGAGGTACCTCACTGAGCGGCGAGTGTTTGCGAACGTAGCGAATTTTGGGTTGCACCATGGTTCGTAAAAGGTTGCAAATGGTTCGTTTAACGTTGCAATAAAGATCGAAACAGTTTTCATTGTCGCAAACAGTTTTTCTTGTCGCAAACACTTTCGCAAACATTCGCTCAAATGTTGCTAATTGTCGCTGAGCATCGCTAAAAGTCGCTAAATATCGCAAAAGCAAACTCTGAAAAGTTAGCGAATCCAAATCGCAACGTTCGTAAAAGACCCGAACATTCACAAATAGTGGCAAAGGATTAGGAAATAGTTTCTAATCTTCGCAAAAACTGTTGCTCACATTTGCTTACAGTCGTTAATAGTCGCCAACTGCCAAGATTCGCAACGTTCGTAACCATTCGCCGCTCAGTGAGGTACCCCCCTTTGGGGTAGTGGTAGTGTAACGCGACCATCCGACTGGACTCGATGACCCCATGATTTGAAGTAAGCCCAATACAAATCAATCATAATTTGAAGTTCGTCATGAGAAATCATGATTGTTTGTCTTTATTTTGTAGATTATGGCAAACTTGGCAGCCAGCGAGAGATACGTCCTGGAATGTCTGGAGAAAAATTCCACAAAACCTGACTGGAGCAGCGTTCACCAATAACCCTTTCCTCCTCCTCAACGAAGCTGGCTGGTGGATAGCATATGGTCTCAATTACAAAAATCAGGTGATTATTTCATTATGCAAGATTATGATAGTGATCATTGGAAATTAATTAGCGTTGGTTACATTATAGTCTGTTCTCGTTACAAGAGAGGACCACTTGTACAATATCTGCTCTTGCGACAATTGCTACTCGTTAATTTGTAATGATACCAATATTAATCCTGGACCCAAAAGCTAATCCTAATTCATACCCTAAAGTCAAATTGCAACTTTACCCTCACCCTTAACCTTTGACGAAATGAAGCCCGATGGGATTGTTGCAGGAGTTTACCTAACAGAGGGCCATGTGGTAGTCAACATTGTATCTCTGGGGCACATCTTGGCTCATGGTATGACAAACTTCTTAAAAATCTTAGAGTGAATGGAAAATGAAATCCGGATTGGTACCTATTTAAGGAGGTGAATGAAGCTGATACCTTCAAACCTTTGGAGAGTTTCTCTCCTCGATCTTTGAATTCACTCTGACCATTCCTTGCAGGTTGTTCCGGTTGAGGCTTTACGTTCCATGGACATCAGTTCGAAGAAGGTAGCCTGGACCCAAAACCTGGTCGTGTCCTGGATCATCTCTAACGACCAGGCTTCCAATATGGACTGGATTGGTGTCTACCCCAAGGGAGCAAACGACGATCAGTACCTAGACTACAGGTAGGTCTGAAAGCTCTTACTAGACGGTTAGTTTCTTGGCAGAAACTCTTGTCCGTCGCTGTGCGTAGCAGTGCGTGCACTGTGATACTAGACTGACAGAATACTGCCTATATAGGCTCTGCAATTTAGCTTCTCCGGCCGAGGCCAGAGACTGACAGAGCAAGGCTCTGCTCAAGGCAAATTTTGTGTGGTTCCTTTCATAAAGGGGATAACTTGAAAAATAATCCATCTTGGGGTAAATTTTCCAATTTCTGGAGTTTTTTTTCCTTTTTTCTTGATTGGTCCCATTGAACTGGTTTCCCTGTTTTGGGGTTTTCCTCTTTTTTATTGAGTTTTCCTCTTTCCTGGAGTGGTCTTTTTATACAGGTTTCACTCTTCGCGAGTTTTCGTGAGCGATCTTTATCTACAGGTTTCTTTATCATTATTCTCCAGGTATGTCCAGGGTGGCCTGAATCCTGGAAAGAGCGCAGTGTACATAGGGAATGTGTCCATTTCCTCATTCGTTCCCAATGGGGCTTATCAGGTTCGCTACCTGGTGAACAGTCAATTCATCAGCATTATGGAAATGGGTACGTTAAAAGCTCGTTTGTATGAGGCTTTTCCCCATATTCTTTGTTTATGACATTGCAAGTTTGTCTTTTTCTTGAACACACCTGTTTAAAAAGATTCCCCTTTTATTAACATAATATTATTACATATAATGACGATCACGCATAAATTACATGAGGATTCAATAAGTGTTTTACATACCTACGGAAAACAAGGGATATTTTTGTTGAATATATATACAAGACGGATAGAGAAAAGTGAAGGAATGACATCACCATTTCACTAACTTTCATTAAGCATTCGTACATTTGTCTTTTTATACAAACCAGAAGAACATATTAAGAACATATTTCATGCCAATTTCCACATTGATACCCAAACTATTCTTGTCTTGATCAGATGTGACCTTCTACAACGAATCCGGCGAGTCACATATGTTGCAACTTTTCCGAGGTATATACACCGGTCTGGAGGCTTCTACGGATAACATTGATGCATGTATAAATGAGGGTCTAGAGACCATAGAGATGTTTGAGGAGTGCTTCCATGCGTTCAAGATGGGAAAGGTAATTACTAACGACTGTTCACTCAGTTTTTGGTACATCATACCTTCAATAGAATTGCAAAACAATTACTGTAGAGGTGTCGTGGACGAGTGGATATGTCACCGGACTGTGGTTTACAAGGTCCGCGGTTCAAGTCCCACCACAGCACTAATGTCCTTTCTCAAGACATTGATCTACATTTGGCACTCTCCACCCAGGTGTTAAATGGGTACCCGGTAGGATGCGAAAGCTAATCTGCTTAGATAGATTAGCAAGTGTGCGCTTGTAAAAATGACGCCTGGCTGGAACGCTCCAAAGGAAGTGGAGAATGTGCGTTCATTGTGTGCGGGTAAGCCTAAATCCGATGACCGGGGTAATAATATGATCGCAGGGCCCTCAGGGAGAACAACATGAATACTGATGAGGCTACCCAGGGTAATCAAGACATATTATTATTATTATTATTATTATTATTAAAGGGTACGTGACCCAAAAAGATCGAGCCCAACGCATGACATCTGCAATTGCAACAAAAGAATTGACCCAATGTCATTTTTTTAAGAGTGGAAAATGTATACCTGAATAAAATGACATAAAGCTCATCAACTTTTGGTAGGGCGTTTTGATTCTACGGTTATCTGTGAGGCGATGTTGTTTTAGCAACGAGCCCCTTTCACACCGGGACATATGTAGAGTTGCGTAGAGTTGCGTATCGACTACGCCGAGCGTACGCTGCCGTACGCTGGCATACGTGCCTATACGCTGAGGGACGCAAAGGGTACGCGAGATGGACGCAACAAATTATACATGTTTAATTTTTCGCGTACTTTCGGCGGCGTAGACACTAGTCGCAGAAAGTCAACGCAACACTACGCATACACTAATTTACACCATGCCTACACAATAGTACGCTACCTTGCGCCTGTCCGACGAAGCATTAGAAAGCGTATAAAGGCGTTTTAGATCGTACCTGCGCACTTACGTACCCTTAACGCCAGGCCTACGTAAACGTACGTCAGCCTAAACATAACCTACGCCGAAGGAAAATTATTTTTCATGAATGCGCAGCCTCGGCGTACTCTGTACGCAATACTTCGCAACTCTACGCAAATCCAGTGTGAAAGGGGCATTAGGCAGCAGGAAATGTTTCCATGGCGGCTGAATTCCCATACATCCAGTTGTGTGGTTGACGAGAGAAGCCATCCATATGATTTTTGTTTTTATCATTATTCTTTCTTTTTTTTCTTTTTTTGTATGTTCATATGTTTATGTTTTTGATATTATTTTCCTAGGTATTCCAAGGTCTACAACTTCTCGGCACAGCCCTTGAAGATGTTGCCCAGACTCTGACAAAATGTAATCTTATTTCGATCGCTAAGAAACTCCTAGGCTATATCACAGATCTCTTGGAGTGCATGGAGGGTAATTGTGTTAAGTTCGTCATCGACGTTATAGAGGAGCTTCGGATTCTGTATTTGAATAGGTATGAAATATACGGGGATATCAGGGGTGCCGAAAATAGCTTTAAGCAAAAAGCTTATCAGCAAGGAGGACTTTGTATCGGAAGATTTGTCAAGGCTTGCTTTCTGGTACACGACTCCCTGATGTCTAATGGTAGTTGGGGGGAAGTTAAACTGAATGGCACCATTAGTGGAGAAGGGGTAAAGATGATTAGGACCGGTAGAATGAATGGGGTGACTGGCACTAAGGCTGGTAGCAAGGAGGTTGTGAAGATGACTGGGAACAATAGTAGGAATGCTTTGAAGCTTATTGCCAACGGTAGAAGTGAGAACATGAAGCTGATCGAATCCGGTAGTAAGATTGGGGTGAAGCTGATTAAAACTGGTAGAAAGAAGGGTTAAATTGATTGAAAGTGGCAGAAAGGAAGGAGTGTGATAGGTGTCATTGTCGGACCTCTCATAAGATGAAAATGAGATGAAGTCTTTTTTCGGGGGGGGGGTGGGTGAGTGGGAATTACAAGGTTCAGCCTTTGGTCTATTGCTCTTTATATCAGTAGCATCAGTAATATGACACATGCTTTTGTAATTGTGTATTTTATGGAAGAGATCATAGAAGTAAATGTAAAAACCATGTATTTTGATAATTTGCTCTGAAATGCTGTGTGCCGTAAAAGTGTCCTACTGCAATGATGTTTTTCGTGTTTCTGTATAAAGTAATATTTTTGACTCATAGAATGTATTGCAAGCAAGGATGTACGTTTTTAGAGGAATGAGGTGCAAAATAAAGCAATTTTCTTAGGTCCTCAGATGTATTGCAGTCTAGAGTATCAATTGGATGTAGGGCAGGGCAGATGATTTCCCTCACTTATAATGGATATTCATGTAACTTTGCGTCCAATAGAGCAACAACAAAATCTTTATCATATCATGTCGTAAAAAAGAGGGAGTAAATTGATAAACACTGTAACACTGGTAGAAAGAACTGGGTGAATATGATTGAAACTGGTAGTAAGGAGAGGTTGAATGTGAAGTGGTAGAAAGCAGGGGTAACTTGATTCTTATAACGCAATGTAGTAAGACTTATTTACTCAGTATTTAAATAACATGTGCCTTTTTTGTTAGCCGCATACCAATTATCCCTCTATGTATCCCTCTTAATCTCCTGATGAAAGTCATTTTTTGCCATCGAATTTCTATTGTTTTTTGCCTGTTTATATTATCATATTTTGTTCTCGCTGTATTCATAAGTTACAGAGCTGCATGCACTTCAAGCGCAGACTTACGCTGCAGCTCTTTTGCATTTGCTATGTCAATCATTCCCAACATTTTGTTGCATAAGATGTGTTATTCATTGTGATATGAAAACAAAAAATATTACCACTATGTAAAAAAGTGTTAATCTTATAACTTATTATTATTGTACGAAAAATGCAAAAGTCAATAAATCAAATCATATTAAATCAAATTAAAGAAAGGGGTGAATCTGATTGAAACTGGTAGAAAGAAGGGGTTAATTGATTGAAACCGGTAGAAAAGTAGTGGTGAAATTGTTTGATACTACTTTTTAATCATGTGTTTTACTCCCACCTCTCCTTCCCAGTCCTAATAGAATGATAAATACCACTGATCACACCACAATAATAGTTGTGTATAATTTGTGTTAGGTAAAACCTATGTTACAGTACTGTTCTCTTTATACTGAAGTTTCCAATATTGTCCCCAAGGCTTATTTCTATTTTTAAAGTGTTATCTTACATATTGTACTTTTATGAAAATATACTCAGTTGCAATATATGATACATATCTGGTGTGTAGTAGAGCATGTATGCTTTTTATATTATTGCATTGTTCTAGCTATTAAGGAAATCATGACTTATGTTCGTAGAGATAATAGAAATAAATATGATTATGTTATTCCTTGATAATATAGAATAAATAATTCCGCTTTTAAAGTTATGCTTTGTGGGTGTTTTCTTTTAGTTAACAAGAATTTTATTTCTTTCCTACTTCTTGTTCTTTTCCTCCTCCCCTCCTACTGATTCTGCTCCTTCTTCTTCTTAAATAATGTTTGGTATAGATACAGAGAACTCAAGTCTATAATGGAAGTGATGCTATTCAAAGATTTTCAAGAATAGTAATAATAATGATAATAATAACGATGATAATGATGATAATGAATATTATGGCAATAGTAGTACGTGTAATAATAATAATGAAAATATTACTAATGATAAGAATGATAAAAATGATATTAGTAATCGATAATTTTTGTTTCAATTAATTTTATGTGAGATTAGTTCATTCCTATTATTTAGTTTACGTATATTTTTCTCATCAGGTATAATTTACTAGAAATAAGATAATACAATTGAAAATAATAATGATAATAATAACAATTATAACAATGGTTATGAAAATAATAGCAATACTTATGATAATCGTACTACTACTAATAATAATAAAATAATAATGATGATAATAAAAAATAATTGTTTTTTTTATGACATTCGTCAAGGTAAGCGATTCTCATTTTATGCGTCATCAAGTACAGATGAAAGAAACCTGTAAATTAATCGATTATAATGATGCCGGAAAATATTATTTTTATGCGACATTTTCACAAAATATTTTTCTCTCAAATATATAGAGGCTTATTCAACACTTTCAGAAAAATATTTTACAAGTTTTATTTGACAACAAAATTATCTGACAGTTTATTCGACAAAAACTTTATTTGATAACAAATTAATTTGACACCTTATTCGATAATAAATCTATTCGACAACATTTTATTCGACACATTTTATTTGACAACAATTTTATTTGGCACATTCGACAAAAAATTTATGTGACAAAAAATTGATTTAACAAGAGTTTTATTCGACACATTTTATTTGACAAAAGTTTTATTCGACACATTTTATTTGACAAAAATTATTATTCCACAAAATTATTTGACTTTTAATTCGACAATAAAAGGTATTCAACTCCAAACAATATATTCCCCAACAAATCTATTCGGCGTACAATACATATGCATGCCACGAAAAAGTCATTCGACAAAAAGTTGATCGGCTCCAAAAGATACCTTACACCGCCACCGTGCAGTAGTGCACGCGGGGGCAACAGGCGCGTTTACGGTACGTTAGGTGCAGAGGATATGTTTGTCCTATACTTAAGGATTGATTATAAAGAATAATTTTGTTTTAAGTGTTTTTTGTTTTTGTTATTTTAATTTTCATCAATGTTATCTAATAAGAAGGAATATCACGGTTATAGATGTTCGACAAGTTATGGATGCACTCTTTATTTGGTGTACCTTAAATTGAATTTGAAAAATATCAGGAGATCTTTTCAAATTTGTTTCTAGAATGATTCTAAAATGTCTTTAAGTCTTTACTTTCAACTTTATTTCTCTACTCTCCTTGTCCATGTTAGGAGAGCTTCTGTCTACTCGTATTCCTACATCCCAATTACAGTTCTCCCCCATCTCTCTCTCTCTCTCTCTCTCTTTCCCTCTCCCTTTCTCTTTCTCTCTCCTCTCTCTCTCTTTTTTTCTCTCTCCCTCACATCTTTGCTGTTGCTATTAATTCCACTTACTCCTTAAAGATCAATATTTATTTATATTTTTGCCCCCGAAAATTTGAAAATAGCTACGGCCAACAATTCGCTCAGTGAGCGGGGGGAGGGGGGGGGGGGGGTAAGGGGGTGGGGAGCACTAATGTGTTTTTACCTATTCTTTTTGTTTTCACCACTGCTTCCTCTAATACAACCCACCTAATACAACCTACCTCTACTATCACCCTGCCTCTCCTACCATTTTGTTACTACTACCATCCTACCACTATAACGAGTCAGGGATTTCCCGCTTTGCATTTACGGTCGGTGGGAATGAACCATACGGCGCTGTGCTTAGTGTTATGAATTATTGTATGAGCGCGATTCAGCCTTGTCTATTTATATGGTTTTCGTGGTTTTTATGGTTTCGTTAATCGTTATAATATTCCCATAGTAGGATACTGACTGAGAAGGATCATTTCGCGGTACGTACAATAATTACGTTCATACTAATGTGAAAACTAGAATTTAAGGTACTCATTTAACGCCGTCTCAATATACCTTTTGTTGTTGTTGATAATATCAGAGGTACAATTATTGTACAAATATTCTGTATGAGAGAATAAAGAATGAGGCAATAAAGAATAAATATGATTCTATTTTCTATCTCAATCGCAGAAATTGCTCTAGGATTATAGAAAATGCTTGGAAACTTAAAGTGTGTAGAGACCGACTTCGGAGTGGGGTAGCCCCTCCCCAATACATCCGCTTATGCATTAATAAAGGCTAGATAAAATATGTATTGGATAGAAACGATGGATTGGATACTATATAAAACCTTGTTGTCGTTGAAAACATGGACAGTTATAACTATTTGCTTTCAATATAAAATTAAATTTTAAAACATCTTCAGCTGGATATATTAAGGAACCAGTAACAATGGAAACCAATTCCAAGATAACACTGGAGAGTATCTTCAGATTAGATCCTGGAGCTGATCTTACTCAGAAGCAACGATCCGAGCTGTTTAAAGCGATGACACCAACATGCCTAGTAGAAGCATTCCGACATACTGGTTTCATTGGGCTCAGGTAAGGATACTTGCTAACCATCTTTCCTTCATGTTTGTATTACAAAACATAGTTCCCGCCTCATTTATTTCATATCCAACATTGTACTTTGATTCATACATAATTATACATCTTGGAATAATCAATTTAAAATAGTTTGTCTTTAATACTGCATCATAATGATAAATCAAATAATTTTCATCCAAATCTTCAAGTGATCGTTCACTTCTATTTTGCATCGGATGAACTTTTTGTTTCCAAAACGTTATGCTTGTATGAAAATGTGATTATTTATAATGATTTTGTACTTTAACTTCTTATCAATGTTTTGTTTTGTTTAAATCGAAGATCCTGTTTTATGACCATTTGTACATTGTAAACAGTGCGCAATTATTATTCCCTGGACTACTACCCTGTATTTTAAATAAACCCCATGTAACTCTTTCAAGAATCATGTTAGAGAAACCATTCTATTGAGAGTTACGCGAACCACTCTTTGGAACGGATTCCACTAAAAATTGGAATTGATTCAAATCTAAAACGAATTGGTCTATAATATTCTAAACTCCCGAGATGATTTCTACTCCTCTAGATTTTAATAGAGCATTTTAAATGAGTTATTAGTCTTGAAATATATAGATTCTGACAAGGGCAAAAAGGAAATGGCATCAGGTTGTTTTTCTTTGGAAGGGGAAGGGGTGCCACATGGTCCTCCTGGAATAGCCATGACCTTTCACATATCAACTGTGCATGGAGGTGTCGTGGTATGGTGGTTCATTTACTTGACTCTCAATATAAGGATTGAGGGTTCGATTCTCAGCCAGGCACCAACATCTTTTGGCAAGACATTAATC